ATAAAAGAATCCAACTAGGATGAATTAAAGGTATTGGAACAACATTCTTGAGAAGCTAAGCATTTATTTTCACTTGTTTCCCTTATATCTGTATCATTACTTCTACTTTGATCTTCTGATAAAGGACCAATGTAACCACTTGGACTTGAAGCTAGCTTGCCACATCTTAGTTAATTGGGGAAAAGCAAGGTATATGTATGCAGCTAAAAGAAAACATGTAAAATGAGAGCAAAAGAGCTTTACCGATGAGAGCTTTACGAGCGTAGGCTTTTTGCCTTTGGAGAAGAGCCAAGATGATTTCAATTATTTATGTGTTTCAGAACACCCTTTGGACAATCTATCTGCTTTTAAGATTATGTTTTGGTTTGGGCTCAATTATTCTTTTATGGGCCAAACAAAAACAAATATTTACATGGGCTATAATACCAATTTAAAATATTATGCTATATAAAAAAATTATAATAAAAATTAAGAAATAATTATAACTTACATTCTAAAAAATATTTTTATCTATCTAATATATAAAATATGTATACATGTAATGTCGGGTTGGTTTGGTTTCGGTTTGGCTTTTTTTAGTTAATACCAAACCAACCCTATTGTGGTCGAGTTTTATTTTCCAATACCAAACCGAGTCAAACCAAACCACTAGTCGGGTTTTTTTTCCGGGTTGACTCAGATTTTCGGGTTGGTGCGGGTTATCGGTTTGGTTTGTACACCCCTAAGCATGACAATAGAAAGTTTATCTATGTTTACGATCAAAAATTTATAACCGCACAAATATTATAAAATATTTAAAATCATAACTTATAAAAAAAATATGCCTTTTTAACTTTTATGTTGCGTTAAGTTACAATAAAAAAGTTGTAACATTGGATACCAATAGGCAATAGCCAGTCAAATTTTGGAGAGTTTTCTTCGATCTTTTTTTTTTCCTGAAAAGATACTCCTACATATTAATATTGACTAGTTAAATTCAGCACGGGCCCAATAATACTATGCTAAATATTTGAGTGTAATTTTTTGTTATTATAAAAAACTTATTATTTGCACCATATATTTTTAGCCACTATTTAAGTTCTGATCCTATCAATCCAAAGGTCTAAATTTGTCTTTTTGAAAATGCCTCTAATTAATTCATGCTAGTCGGTCTCCGAATGATGTATATAAAAGATATTCCGAAACCACTTAAGATCAATAAAAGAGGAAAAGTATGACAATTTGTTAGTCTCAACCATTGCCTAAAAGCTAACATTCAAAAGAAACACACATAAAAAATTCAAAAAAAGGCATTCATAAATTTAATCGTATGAAAAGTTTAAACAGTGATCTGCATGAATGTTGAAGAGAAAAATATTATAGTACCACAAATGTAAAATATTATTAGAGAAAAGTTAATTGTTGTATATTAACGTTGCGTGAAATTTGAATCCTAGAGTCACTGTTTGCAAACTTATAAATTATTAGTATTATGTTAGATTTATTTGTCCAGCTAATTTTATGAAGCCTCATATTAAAGTGAAACGGCACCCTACACTACCCAATTAGGTATTCTCAATTCCATACCAGAAAATGGAAGTGCTCAAGGGATACCCTAAATTCAAGCTATCTTCTACATAATAAAATCCCGCAACTCATAGAGGTAAGGTTTTTCTTTTTTAATCTCATTATGTTGATAAGTTAATCATTCAAAAAACTATGAAAATAATTACAATTAATATTTAATGTTTGTAGTCCTCACTATAAGTATGATGTTCTACTTCACATGTAAAATATGTTGTCATACTATTATTCTTGCAACTAAAGTTGCTAACTTTTTCATTTTTCAATTTTTTTCTGGTTTATCTATGTTTTCCCACCTTTTTGAGTTTTTAAGCACAGATATTATAGATTTTTTGAGCTATAGTAAACTTCTGAAATTCCATTAGCTGAAAATATTAATGTACTACCTTATTGATGATTACGTTTCCTCGACGGGCCGTAAGAAGAGTTTCTCAATTTCATACTTTGTTATCAAAATATTTAACACCATTTTATTATTCAAAAAAGTACCTCACTGATTTAATCGAGTAGAAGGACGATTCAAATTTTTTTCACACAGTTTAATAGTGATTAAATAAGAGCTCTCTAACTTATGGTATAACTTAAATTATGATTCTTAATAATTTAACTTATGTTGTATATGTTTCTTTCTTATACTCAATTTTCCCAATAAAAATAACAAAAAATAGCTCAATGATTAAGCCTTATCTTGGCCACGTGGTTCGCTCGATGCAACTCTGCAGTAGCGTTGCAATTGCAGTGAGTACTCGTTCCCCTTAAAAATAATTAATTAAGGAGCAACCTTAATTAAACTTAATTTGTTAGCCTAAAAAAGAGTATACAAACTGAGGTTTTTGTTTTATGTTCTTAAATCTGCACTAAATAAATGACATGTGTGACGTGATTAATGAGGACAGTAAGAAGGAATGTAACATTGAGATTAGAAATGAGTATATATATACATTGCGAAGAATCATTAGACACGTTAATAAGATTGCATTTTTTTTTTTAAAAAACAAACAAAAACAAAATAGTATATGACAAGATGCCACTGGCAAGTAAAATATAATCTACAAAGTAAATATAAATACATGACGTCAATACAGCAACAACCTAGCCTTTAATAAACTATTCTACTTCTCCGACAAAGTAAATAATCTTAAGCTAGAAAATGCAGACGGTGGTAGCCATGGATAACGGCAACAGCAACGGCAAACACCAGCTCCATGTGCTTTTCCTTCCCTATTTATCCCCCGGCCATCTCATTCCGTTAGTTAACGCCGCTAGGCTATTCGCCTCTTGCGGCGTTAAAGCCACAATCCTCACTACCCCTCAAAACGCTTTACTTGTCAATTCTACCATAAACGACGACGTTTTAGTTTCCGGCTATTCAATTTCAATCCATACTCTCCCTTTCCCTTCTGCTGAAGTTGGCTTACCTGAAGGTGTTGAGAATTACAGCTCTGCCACTTCAGAGGAAATGCACAGCAAAGTATTTTACGCCATTTTTCTTTTACAAAAACCAATGGAAGACAAAATTCGTGAAATCCGTCCCGATTGTATCTTTTCTGATATGTATTTCCCTTGGACCGTCGATATAGCCAAGGAGCTGAACATCCCTCGGCTCTTGTTCAACCAGTCCAGCTACATTTACAATAGCATTTTGCAAAATCTTTTGCTTTACAAACCTCACAAGGAACAGCTGAAACTGGAACAAAATTCCCAGAGAAGTAGTAGTTTTTTGGTTCCTGGTTTACCGGATAAAATCGAGTTGAAGCTATCCCAACTCACAGATGATTTGACAAAGCTCGCCGATGAGAGGAATGTTTGGGACGACGTGCTCGACCAAACCCGAGATTCCGAGGACCGTAGCTACGGTATTGTTCACGACACATTTTACGAGCTAGAACCTGATTACGCTGATTATTATAAGAAGATTAAGAAGACCAAATGCTGGCATATTGGTCCTATTTCTTATTTTTCTTCCAAAATCCGAAGAAATGAACTGATCGCCGACAACGCCGGTGGGGCTAACAACGATGTTGTAGAGTGGTTGAACGGACAGAAGCCTAAATCGGTTCTTTATGTTTCTTTTGGGACTCTAACTAAATTCCCAGACGACCAAATTAGTGAAATCGCCGGAGCTCTAGAGAGTTCAAACGTCCCTTTCATTTGGGTAGTGAGAAAGCAGACATTGTTGCCGGAGGGTTTCGAGGGAAAGACGGCGGCGAACAAAAAGGGTTTGATAATTAGAGGGTGGGCCCCGCAGTTGACAATCTTAGACCATTCTGCCACCGGAGGATTCATGACTCACTGCGGTTGGAACTCAGTTCTTGAAGCCATAACCGCCGGAGTTCCATTGCTGACGTGGCCACTTTTCGCCGAGCAATTCTACAACGAGAAACTTGTGGAGGTTGTCGGGTTGGGAGTTAAAGTCGGGACGGAAATATGGAGCCCCGGTCTTGAGGTTTCGAGTCCAGTGTTAGGAAGTGAAAAGATTAAAGAAGCAATAGAGAGATTAATGAATGGTTCAGAGGAAAGTAAGAAAATTAGGGAGAAAGCAATGGCGATGGAAAAGATGGCTAAAAATGCAATTGAAGAAGGTGGATCTTCTTGGAACAGTCTCACTGCGTTAATTGATGATATCAAGAATTTTAATTTGTCATCTACCACGGCTAATTGATCTTTACTCATTTTGGTTATTTTCCTAAGATGTAACTTTTGTTGTTAAAATAATGCCAGCATTTAATTTTAATATTCGCATTGAAATTTGCATTTTTGGTCCTTTAATGCTAAGAATCACAAATAGAGTAATAAAGTGACATAAATTCCCAGATATAGAGAGTCTTTCCTATTTCGAACGCGGCGGATAAAGACTGATGAGTTAAAAATGCAGGGTTCGGGAGTCGAGAAAGGTTGGTGGGACAAGAGGAAGTATAGAGGTATGCAGAGTATGTGATCAGGTGGGATATGGCAATATTTGAACTAAATGAGGATGCAATTTGAGCTAGGGACGACTCAACAGATCTCGTGGCTTATGGCGAAACTATATTGAGAGGTCCCTTAAATTTATTTTATAAATATTTGCACTAACAATAAAATTTGCTTCTTAAATAACACATTAATCAGTTAAGACAAAAAAAAATGAATTTCAGAAAAAGAAAAAAAAAGAGCACAAAAAATAAAGTGATGGACTATCGGATGTTGAGGCCCTGAGAGCAAAATTTTTGATTTGGCTATCATCACAAACAAGATAAGAAACAAACATACATAACATAATAATTTAAGTTTTGAGCATTGACAGTTCAAAAATATTTACTCAATCAATTTAAACGATATTCGTAATTCATTCTATTAAGTAGCACTTATTGGTAAATATCTAAAATAAATTGTAAATAACCTAATATAATATGTGTGAGCACGTGATTTTTATTTTGCGCGACAGTCGCTCCAAAAGAATAAAAATTGGTCCTGCTGTACAATTTTTGGATTTTTGTGCGGCACTTTGTTGATTTATTTGTGATTTTGGCCCATTTTTATTTATTTACTTTATTAAAACAAAATTCAAAAAAATGTGTACGTGTCATGCATAATCTGAACCGTAACATGGTTTAAATAGAAAGGCATAAACAGGCATCTTTGTCCGTGATTTTGTTTTGTTTGATTTTACATGTTTTGAAATATCTTTTGTGTGTGTGCAAATAATTGTATTGAGTGTGTATTTAATTTTAATTTGATTTTTTTTTTGCTTAGTTTTGTTTTTAAAATAAATAAGAAAAGAAATAAAAAATAATAAAAAAAAGAGAAAAGGGCCCTTTCTTCTTCCGGATTGGGCCAATTTATTAAATTGGCCCAAAACAAACAACGTCCAAGCCAGGCCTGCCCGGTCCAACACCAGCTGATACCCAGGGTATCCAAACGACGTCGT